GCTAATAATACAAATGTCATTCCAGGTGAGAGAAAACATAAATGTTGGTATATTCATATAATGGAATACATATTATTGAAGCCACAGATACATTACACTTAACAAACTTGAGTTTACATCACCAGATACAAAATCATACATGCAAAGGGATGTCATTAATGAAGTCTTTAACATAAAATTACAGAATAATTTTAAGAAATCTTTTCTAATGAGTCAGATTATCAACAAAAACAAGCAAGAAAGCATGTGATTACCTCAAAAGTCAGAGCAGTAGTTATCTCTAGAATGCAGGGAGTGTGGAAGGATTGAAAGAAGGTTGGAGGGGTCTTTGATGGTCTTATATTTGGCCGTGGTTGAATAGTTGTTTAGTTTTTGAAAATAATTGAGGTGCATATTTCTCTTTTGAGTACTTCTCTATATATATTTCACATCACAATATAAAACATTAAAAGCTAAACCATAGAGTCTCTATGAATTGGAATCAATTTGAGAGCAATGAGTTATTTATAGATGTCTGACATCACAACATAAAATATTAAAAGTTAAACTATAACGTCCTTATAAATTGGAATCAACTTGACAACAATGGATTATTTTTAGAAACACTGAGACATAATGAATAGACTGCCATAGGTTTTAAAAAATGTATTAAATGTACTGCTTAAGATTTTCTTCGTTTTTTACTGTCTCTCTGTGATGCTAGGTAACCGAGTAGTGATGGTGAGAGTGGTTGTGTGTCACTGACTTGCTTCTAACTCATGGTGCTATATAGGGTTTCTGAGACTATAAATCTTTAAAGGAGTAAAAAGCCTAATTTTTCACCTGAGGAGCAACTGGTAGGTTCAAACTAATGACCTTACAGTTATCAGCCCAGTTCATAATCCACTATGCTACCAGAACTCCTAACTAAATAGTATATGGGTGTGCTATGACAGTATTAATCAAGAACATTGTATAAAGAATTTGCTGTTAATTATAAAATTTTTTGTTTTATATTGTTGTTGTTGCTAGTTCTTACTCATAGCGACCCTGTATAGGGTTTCCAAGGAGCGGCTGGTGGATTTGAATGTCCGACTTCATAGTTAAAACTGATCTTATGGTCCAGTGCATTATCCTGCAGCACCACATTTCATTATCCAATAAAACTTAAATTGATACTGTTTAAATTATATTTAAGAAGATAAAGCAATTCACTGCTAGTATTTCTAA